ACTATCTGATTGTAGATAATAATGATCCTTACCCTCCCGAACCTCTTAATTTGCATGTTACTGAGTGGATCAAAACCCATATTAATGATATGGAATACGCTCAATTTGATGATGAGTCATGGATTTAATCCATATTAAGTTTAGTTATTAGATATTATTAAAGTTCATCTATTTTACATAAAACTAACATGCCTTTTGTGATTCCAAGGTACTGGATTATATTATCGCAATTCTTAACTTTTTTCATACTCTTAATCTTTTGATAAATTTAATCATGGGAAAAAAATAAAAATAAATTTAATCTTTAATTTTAATTTAGAATATTCGAAAATACAATATTTCTTACTTCTCGAATAAACTCTTTGTTATAGTCAACAGTATCTTTATCATTATAACTTTTTAGTAACTTCAAAGCAACATATTTTTTCAACTTTTTTGAATAGCACTTATATATATTGCCAAATCCTCCTTGACCAATTTTATTCTCTTCCCAACTGTAAATTCCCAATCTACTAATCCAGAGTTCTGCATTATGTTTTACCGAGAGAGTTTGTTATACACAACATTCTCAATATTCTTTTCAAGTAGATTTGCACAAATCACGTTTTCTGTACTAGAAACAGAGTATGTACAACGTATAACGTAGAGTATGGTTTACTGGAGAGTGAAGTGATGTGTTTCTTTTGGATGATCATTGTTTGTGACTTCATCTTGTGATTTTGATATTTGTATCGTACAACATATTTCCATTCCTGGTTTTGTGCAATGCAGTTGCACAGTTATTTATTTTATCTCAAGAATAATTTTAACTTAGGCAGCGGAGGTAAGATTTCACAAATATAGAGTTATTATTATAAAGTTTTTAATTTATAAGTCAATTTTATGCTCACCTTCTAATAATTTAATTTAGATTCAATTTATTAGAGAAGTTTTATTTAATTATAGATTTAATTATAGAATATTATAAAAATTTAATTTATAAATTAATTTTTATTTAATTATAGATTATTAGTAATCAAATTAATGTATCATAAAATTTTCATTTTTATAAAATGAGTGACAAAAAGGGAAAACCTGTAAATCATTTCACTCAATGAATGAAATTATTTACAGCTTTCTTCTTTTCGGCACTCAAATCTGAAACTATACCTTGATGTTTGTCCAGATGCTTAGCAGCATAGTAAGGGCAGAATTGATAATAAATGTAATAAAAACTAAAGCGGTAATAAATATCGCGGATGATTGTGAAATTCGGATCATCGTGAAATTTCAATTTTTAAAAAATTTTGGGGTATATTTTTTTAGACTTTTTTTTGAATCCGGACTAGTATTTAGGGTTAGGGTTTATAATAAAAGAGTATAAGTAGGTTTTATTAGGGTTGTGAGGGCTTATATTTTTTAAATTAAGGCCTTAGATTTCATGATGATCCGATTTCACCATCATCCGCGACAATAAATAAATAAAATTTTGACAACATTTTAGGCTTATGGGTATTTTTTTTCCGAGTAAAGAGAGTAGAATGCAAAAGAATAAAGAACAAACGAACGATTTATATATACTTTTCTAGACACATATAATGTGTGCAGTGCAATATTGCAATGCATTGTCCCCGATTGATACAACTCCCTTAATGTTTCTCTAAATACTAATTATTCGTAAAAATTGTCCTGCAAGATAATTTAAGGGTAAATACAAACTCCCTAAACACACTTAACAATTAATTGTTGGTTTTCAGCAAATGAATTAGAACCCTTAGGCACTAA